AACTTTTGGCTTAATTTTTTACGAAATATTCTGTCGCACTGAAATGTACTAGTCATGGAGGTTGTTTGCTAAACACCAAACTTTAAGTTCTTAGTGTTGGATTTATAGTAGCAGGTCTAGATTGTGTAAAATTCGGCTTTTATCGATTTCCAATTCTTTCGTTTATTGCTGTCATACTAATATCGATTTTAATTAAAACTACGTTTTGACAAACTTCAATCCATAGTCAATTACTGGCGAATATTGTATAGTGATCGGACAAGGATAAAATCCCCTTTAAGGCGATTGAAAAATATCGGTATGGTCTCCGAAAAACTGTATCGAAACACCTTAAGACGCGTCTTATGTAAGTTGCGTCTTATTTTTCCTCGTATAAATTGCCCTATTGATTCTATTCTCTCCACTACAGGTCCGTCGTTGGAGTACTAGGTCCAAGTGGTGATCGCGTCAACAAGTACATGTACGATCCTTTTGGTAGAATGTTGGAAAGAGACGAACAGTTTCCGCAAGACTTCACGTTTGTTGGTCAGTGGGGAGTGACCGCAGAACGCGAGTTTAGGGATATCTACTGGATGCGGTCCAGATATTATGATGCACAGCTGGGAAGATTTTTTAGCCTTGATCCTCTTGGTAAGAATTCTGAGGTAGATCAAAATAAACAAATAATTTTTGGACGTGTTAGGAAATCCTATAAAGATATAAAGATATTTTTTGTGAATATTGATAAGGCGACAGAATTAAATAGTAATGCAATCTTCTTTTAACACTGCAGACTTGAAAATTCTTAGTCGTAGGGTAATCTTTGCCGTGTAACAAGATTTACTCGCTTAAAAATTTCCGAAGTGTACCTCTGTGCGCTTCTTTTCGTCAGCATTTACCCACAGGCAAATAGTACATCAAAACGCTCGCTTTCCTTTTCTCATCTTATGAAACAACATGCATGCCTATGTCTTTTGTTACTCTCTTCGTTTCAGGTTTTTTAGGAGAAAGTATTAATCAGTATTCATATGCGGCAAATAATCCGGTCATGTTGAAGGACCCGCGAGGAAGGTACCTTCAATTTGCCATCTTAGCCGGGGGACCGCTCCTTATTAGTGCGGGAACAAATGTCGCTGCATATGTGGCTTCTAGGACGCTACAAAAAGTTACACTGGGAGGTAAGAAATTTTAAACCTCGTGCAAATACTTGATAGACCCTTCCACGATTATTTGATCTATTTACGTGGTCCAGTCAGAGAAAATATATCATACCCGCTGAGAAAAACGTACAGTGCCCTTTCTTTTCATATTCCTTCTCGATTGGGAATCTGATGCAGCCTCGTCCCCGGCTGGCCATTTGCGCCTGGAAGAGGGAGAGCGGAAGAGGCTTGTGCGCGATAGCGCAAAAACTAGAGGACAAGAAGGTAGTGTCACACCAAATTCTCAAAGAAAGACTAGGAACGAGGCCCGAAGCGGTTCGAAAAATGCTCTGCCTTTCTAAGGGCGAATTGTAATTGTAATCGTAAATTGAACTTTGGGACCTACGCATCCTCGGAGACTCAGGGGCAGTCATTTGGGTCGAGAAGAAAAGGCAGCACGAAAGTTTTCATGGCGGGCGAAAGAGCCACTGGGTACCGACTCTCACCGGACCATTTCCAAAAATTCAAGCGGATGCCGGCTCCTGATTGGGCACAAAAAATGCTTTGTATTATTGTGCCCAATCGGCGAACACATCTCAATGAGTTCTTTTCGTGTGTTCGTACACGACGGCTATTGTCTGGATCACGGCTTGTCTAGCTTATGCACCAAAGAAATGCACGCAATCAGGAAACTTTCAGTTTGATATTAAATCCCCATCTGATCCAACTCGCTTACTTTGTCAAATGCAAGCGAACTCTTCTGAACCATATCAAAATTCATGAAGAGAATGAATTTTGTTATTCCTTTTTACTCCTCCACAAAACGTGAAGTTAGACATTTTCACAGGTAGTCGTGCAGTTGACAGCAAAGAAATGTACAAAAAAGCGTGATGCACGTGCAAAGTTGTTGTTTTGCCTTGTCAAGCTATTACTTATTTGAATTTCTCATCGCCGCGGCATCTTAATTGTGATCCGTCAAAAACAGAATATTCTCGGGGCAAATTCAATTGCTCTTGCTGATATTAACCCAAACGTTTTTTCAACTCATCGGTAATTCCTTTGTTTCTGGTTAGGAACTAGAAAATAAAAGTTTCCCTTGTACGCACAAGCTTGGTGAACGAACCAGGCAAGTGTGGCGAGACAATAGCCGTCGTGTACGAACTCACGAAAAGAACTTAGGAGTGACTGTTCGCCGATTGGGCATAATAATACAAAGCATTTTTTGTGCCCAATCAGGAGCCGGTATCAGCTTGAGTTTTTGGAAATAGTTCGGTGAGAGTCGGTACCCAGGGGCTCTTCCGCACTTACTTGAAAACTTTCGTCCCGCCTTTTTTCCCGACCCGACTGATTGCCCCTGGGTCTCCGAGGATGGGACCTACGGAGCACTCGGGAGTTCATGACAACTCGTTGAAACGTGTCCGTGCGTTCCCTATCGAATTGGAATTTGGAAGTGTTGGTTTTTAAGGAGAGGGGAAACCGGAGTACCAGGAGAAAAACCTCTCGGAGCGAGGGAGAGAACCAAAAAACAAATTCAACCCGTATAGTGGCGTCGACGCCAGGATTCGAACTCGGACCACATGGTTGGGCGGCGAGTGCTCTCACCGATGCGCCACGCTTGCTCCCTAAAAAACTCAAACGCATGTTCTAGTTTTCCAAAGTTACCAGTGCGAGCCGCAGTGTAGTACATCACATTAAAACGTAACTTTAATGTTTTAGGTCTTGTACAAAGTGCAGTAACTGGCGCAATATCGCCGTATATTACAAAAGCAAGTGAGTATACGTGCAATGTCATAAACAATCATAATTTAAGAGTGGTTGTCAGAGAAAACCAGGCAAAATGCTAAAAATGTCAACGGAAGGAGGTCAACAGAATAAGCTCATACTAACATCATAGATAGGTTAGGTGGACTAATGGACAAATATGATAAACACAAGCTCTTCAATGCTCTTGTATTAGAGATACAAGCATCACTTTATTTGAACACCTCGGACGCCATTTTTGTAAGCAAATTTTGTCCATTTTTTGAAGCTCACAAACTCCTCAAAAATAAACGAGTGAAGTTTGTTTTTTTGTATGCGATACAACACAACACAGTACTATCTTCGAAAACCATAACCACGGGCAAGACTAAAACTTTCTTATTTTCCCTGACCTAAACTCAGTGTCTGCAAGCGAACCAAAATCGGTAGTTCTTGAATTGATCTGTAGCGCAAAACTAAAAGGATAATAAAACTCTGAAAACCAAATTGCGGTCTACTATCATCCATGTTACCGAAACCCTACAAAAATCATTTTGGCTCGTTGGAACAGGAAGAAATTTTAAAACTCACATTTGTCATAGTTGTCAACCTTTTTCTCGGAAATAGGCGGATCCCTTCTTATTTGTTTTAAGTGGTCTTCTTTCATTCTTCTTCCCTATTTCGTTTTCAGTTATGGTCAGGAGGTAGAAATACTGCCACTGTTACATCTTGAAACGGCAAAAAGTGCTAAACCGTGGAATAAAACTAAAAAATAACAAAGCGACGCCATCTTGAAAATTCAGTATTCGGAATGGACTGGTACTAGTAGTTGCCTATGTCTCCAAAACGACGACTCAGTAAATAAATGCACACTTCCTAAAAACACAAACAAACCCTAATCAGCTACTTGCCCCAATATTAACTCTGTTTATGAAATTTTGTTTGTTCACTTCTCGGTTGGCATTTTTTGCGGAATGAATGGGGTGGAGAATAGACTATTAACTTGCGATCGGGCGGTCCTTCTCTTTCTCTTCGGGAGGCGAAAAAGAAAATTAAAAAGTCCTGATCGCATGTTAATGGGTGATGGACTCGAATTACTTCATCCATCTTCATTTTGAGTTAGCCCGTGAATGTGGATAACATTTACCTTATGGCTTACTGGGTATCAATTCACCTCGTTTTATAGCTTGTGCAGGTCTGTAGACTGGTTAGTTAAAACGCCGTGACACGACTACATAGAACCTACTGGCTCAGGGTTATGGGCGATGAACTCGAATTACTTTGCCCACTCTTCATTTTGAGTTATCCCATGAACGTGGATAACATCGCCTTACTTATTTATTTATTTAATTTTATTTGCAATAATGGTGTTGAAATACAAAGAAAATACAGAAACACACTAAAAGTGAAAGAGAATAACAAAAAAAAAATTGAAAAAAAAACTAAATGAAATTACTTACATCAACATACATAATACTTATTTACAATATCATTGCATTACAATTTACATTACTAACTTCATTATTAGTTAATTGCATGTGAGAAGGCTAAGAGAGATAATAATTACTTCAAGTTAGTCTTTCTACTTTCCATTGTGTTTTTAAATTATTTACAAATTGCGTACAGTTAAGGGGCACCACATTAATTTTACAACTATATACATACTTTTTAATAAACAGGATGAGTAGTTCAAGTCGGCGTCTGAGGTTATCATTTATAGGACCAGGGGAATATTTCTGCATCAGAATTCGCTCAGGGGAAAGATTAATAACAGTATAGTTGAACACATTAAACCATGATAAGATTTCATGATGAAATTTAACATTTACAGGGCATTGTAAGAAGGTATGTTCCAGTGAATCAGGGTTCTTCCACTGATCACAAAGGTCGTCATTTCTGATTTTGAACTTAAGTTCTTTGCTGGTTACTAAAATACTATAGAGAATTTTGTAACCAAATTCTCTTAGTTTATTGTCTTAAGTCGATTTGTAAATTGTATTGAAAGCCTGTTCCCAACTAGTGGCAAAGTAAGGAAAGAAGCTAGACCAGCGTTAACCAGCAGTAGGTTCTGTAGTTTTACCTTCCTGAAATAAATTGTAGTAGTCCTTACATCTCAGTTTAGTCAGGGAGAGTGGCGTATTCTCAGAAGGGTAAAAAAACCTCTTGTTCCTTAAGTAGGACTCTTTTCGTTGTGGCAATTTCTTGGGCTGTTTTCTTCAAGCAACTTGGAATCGCAGCAATAAGTTGAAAATATTGAAGAAAATTCAGATGAATGTTATATTTAACTTGTAAATCATCAAGGGACAAGAAGTTTCCGTTTTCGTCTAATAAGTTACCCTGGTCCCAGAGGTTTTTCTTGATTTTTCTTCGCGAAAGAGATCAAGAGCAAACCGCGAAGCGGCGACAACGAGTCGCGAAAGCGACGAGGAGAGACAGAAAAACCTCTGGTTACCTTGGCCTCGAATCTCACTTTCATGCAGACGACAGCTGTCAAACGCGTCAAATTGCTAATAAAAAGAGTGACCAATGGCAACTTAGCAAACACGTGCTTATCAGCCGCTATTTTTTTAAGTGGGGGTAGACCTGGGGAAATTATGTTATGAACAAACCATCTTCACTTGGGTGGTAAAGAGTGATTTGTTAATCGGGGTCAAGCTAAAGCATGTGTTAACAATGGGCGACAAGAGTCCAGGAATAAGAAGACCACTTTATAAAGAAACCGACATTGTTCCAAACGAATGCTGCAGGATTTGCAGAATTTATTTGGGTATAATAACAAGGATTTTTCACAAACATTGTCATCTGTTCTGTCGGCAGTGTGCCAGCGGGAAGTTGTAAAGTTTGCAAGAGTCTATCAATCGCGCTTATTACATTGTTTACTTCTGCGGGGCGCGCCGTTCGCGTCGATTCGCGGGCATTCCCCTGAAAATAGTAATATTAATATGTATTCTGGCAATCTGGCTCGCATTTTGGTTTGGTTGCTCCATTTCCTTTTTTTGTGGAACAGCGACGCTAGGAAGAGTCATGCAGCACAACAAACCCTTAAGGTTCGGAATGTACTTTCAGAGATTTTTGTTGGCCCAATAGACCTATTCGGCTAACTCAATTTACCCAATTCAAACCCTTTGGGAATAAAACGCTTTGTTTCAGGAATTTCCATATCATTTAAATGTGAATGCCACATTATAATGCAAGTGCAATACACAAAGAATCTTATCCCCGGGAGATTTGAATTGGGTACAACATTGAGTTAGCCGAATAGGTCTATGCCAAAAATAAAGTTGGTTAGATCTTTTTTGGGCGTCGCAGGAAAATCAAGCTGCACCGAAAATGATTACGCACTTGTACAAAGTTGTATGTTTTTTTTCCTTCAAGGAAACTTTCATTCCGTATTCGGAGATTTTTTATTTTGTTGCCCTAAACAAGTTAGTTTATTTAATGGAATGACAGTATTGTAACAGAAAATATACTTTCCATGTCCGGTTGATAAAATGGTGAACACATCCTTTCGACTCAACGCAGCGAACAAAGCTTTCTTTTGTTGCTCAGTGAGACTCGGGAAAGCGCTCATTAAGTACCGAGGTCAAAATTTCTTCGAATATTCTTTCAGCAACAACATCCATGGCGTGCCTCTACGTGCCTTGGTCCCGTGCAAATGTTATTGCGAGTGCAGCATACAAACAATTTTCTTCCCTAGTAGAGAGAGGCAAAATGAGGTGTGAAAAACCTCAGCGTCCCCTCGGTAGTTACAATTAAACGAGCCAATCAAATTGGTTTGCGCGTTTGAAAAAATATCAACCAATCAACGCCCGAGGGTCAGATCCTGACCCTGTCGTCTGCATGGAAGTGAGATTCGAGGTCAAGGTAACCAGAGGTTTTTCTCTCTCTCCTCGTCGCTTACGCGACTCGTTGTCGCCGCTTCGCGGCTTGCTGTTGATCTCTTTCGCGAAGAAAAATCAAGAAAAACCTCTGGGACCAGGGTACTAATAAGTCTTCAACAAAACAGATTCCTTTCTCAAAAAGATGTGCCCAAAATATAGATTTATTCTCTATCGTGATTTCCTCGTTATTCCAAAGAATGAATTCTCTTCTATAGCCATCAAAATGACCTGTGCGAAGTTCCTTAAAATAATAATCCAACATTTTACTGGAAAAGAGAGGAGGTGGTTTGTCTAGGAGTTTAGAATCGTAATAACACTTCAGTAGAAAAGGTAACCCTCCATATCTGTTAAAGAAGTCATTTGGGATTGCCAGCCATGATTCATTTGTACGGTTTAAAAACCTGCCTAGCCAGCTCAAGCGTAGCGATTTAACCAATAGTCATACTTGTCATACTAGTCTGAATTCACATTTTTTTTATATTTCCTGTCCCTCTCTAGAGCGAGCTCGCTAACATACTTCCATCGTGGACAGCCGCTCGACCCAGTCCCAATATGGCTTACTGAGAATCAATTTCTTTCCTAATGAATTTTTTTCCCATTTTTCGCTATGGTCAACAGGTTAATTCCAAAAAAACTCGAAATACTGCCATTGTTGCTTTTTAAAACGGCAAAAAGTGCTGAACCATTGGATACAACTAGAAATTCGATATAACAAAGGGACGCCATCTTAGAAATTCAGTACTCGGGAGGTAGTATTTGCCTTGTCTCCGAACGGAAACTAGATGGTCTCATTTGGAGGCGAGACAAGCTATACAAATACAGATCATGAGGTACATACAAACAAAGAAACAAACAGTAGCCTGTTTTTTTCTACGTGCTCCACTCTTTGATTTGTGTTAATTACTCTTGTTTATTTAGTTAAATTGAAGGGAGATGGTGACGGGTGATTAACTGGCATTAATTCATAGGCTCATTTACTTCATTTTGAGTTATCCCGCAAAAGTCATAACATTTCTTTGTTTCAACTCTTTGGTCTTTAATTCATTTTTAGGATTAGAGGTATTGACGTTTTTATTATATGTCTATTGTTGTGTCATTCTCCAATCGCCGTCTACGTCTGAACATCCACTCGTCTCTCATTCTTTGCTGGTGACCCTCATTCTTCACAAATCCCTGTATTTCTTATCAAATCCCTGTATACAGTCATTCCCAGTGGTGAAGGTCTGGTGTCGCTGAAATATTTCCTAGACTAGAAGTACGTGTATCGCACAAACTCGCGAAGCTCGGGGGGGAGGTCCACAAAATGTCAGGGATGAAAGGGGGGGAGAATTGGAGTAAATTGTGTAGCTTGGAAGGGCAGGTTTCAATACTGGCTCTAGTGTTGGCAGGTGATATGTAGTTAATCTCTTTTTGGTTGGAGTAAATTTGAACCCAGTGCTCGGTCGTTAAAAAGGATTTTCTGGGATTTAAATGCGGTTAGTGTTGTTAAGGAAATGTCCACATACAAGTCATGTTGAAGGTGATCAGTTCCTCAATTGTCAACATGCATGACCTTGTTGAGACGACTGGTTGCCACAGCCAAATGTACACTTTCCCTGACCAAATGTGAATTGACATTTTGTCCAGATATTAATGGCTTCCAAATCCCAGTCAAAATTTTATGCACTGGACACACATGACGTAGGACAATCTGCTTGGTATTGTTTCACATTACAACTTCACGCCGATTTAAGTGTGTATTTCAGAAATGGGCATAACCGCTGGATTATTTACCCTGAAGGCCCAATTTATTCCTCCGGACTTTCCCTTCGAGAGTGCTCGTTTTGACTCGGTTCAAGGAAGGTGAAATTTGATGGCGAAAGGCTCAGAAGCGAATTCAAAGGAATTGAACAATGGCTTAATTAAGCTGCCCAGGGCCGCGAAGTTTTAAAGGTAACCTTTTGTTGTAAATGTGTCAATAAAACTGCAGAGAATTATCGCACATATTGCAGTAGAAGTTTATGGATTTAAGTCTTTCGCAAAACTTCTTCGACTTGGATACGTATTTTTCAAAAAGGAGAGTTTTGAGAGCTTCAAGAAGAGATCTTGAACGAGAAATTTCGACCACTGTGGACTGAGATTAGATTTTTTTCTTGCAGAGGTTTCGAAGTGCAAAGCAAGCCGCTGAAGCATTTTTTCTCGCCTATCGCTTAATAAAATCTAGCCGAGAGTTATCCATTCCTTCAACGTAACAGTTATTCATTTTTTCAAACCAATGAAACTATGCAAGCGTTTCTACAAAATTATTTCCAGGAATTATGAACTCCGCAAGTTTTGATCTGTCGATTACAGCTGTTGTTTTGATTTTAGATGTTTCCTGTCTCACTCTACTACTCCGCGAATCAAGTTTTCAAGTTTTTGGGGTACACACTTAAATCGGCGTGAAGTTGTAATGCATGGCTGCTGTTCTTTTGTTTTACGTCATCTGAGTCCGGTACACAAAATACAGTGTAAATGCCCAAACTCCCATCACAACCATCCTCGCCACCCATTTATTACATGAATTTATCGTGAATGTAAAGTACACAATGGATTGAACTAATAGGAAACCCTATATCTGCTTGTCGTTAAACTTCTGGAGACAATATTCTGCAAATGGAACAAGTTTAACTTCGGTGAATATGCAGAAATATGTCACCTCCCTCCCTTTGAAAGAGTCAAATTTTCCCTGACTTAGACTGAAATTCCCTGACTTGTTGAAGTGTCCCTTACGGGTAAAAGAAGTAATTTTCCTGGCATGGTAACAGATGTGACACATTAATGTCGTGAGGAGATCCGAAAATACAGATGTTCTTTTCGAATATTAAATAGGATCGAAAATAGGAGGCCAGCAATAATAAATTTTTGTTATGTTTGACTTAAAAGACACAGCTGTGTTTATGTATAAGGCTGCTATACATAAAAAATATTTTTACTTGGGATGGTTTTGGGGAAGTAAATGTATTGAACATTTAAACCAAAAATTTTGTTCAGTAAGGACTTCGTAACGCTTCCCCACACAATGTCACACATTGTCGGTGTTATAAACTGTTCATTGTAAAATAAAGCTTACTGTAAAGGCTGATAGGCTGTCCTCAATCCGTTGAAAAGATATTCTTGACGTGCGCGCATTGTACAGATCATGTAACTGTTGCTGCCTATCGTTGCATCGAAGAAGATAAATTTTTATGTAAAATACCAGCGCTCCTTGATCTCATCGCTTTTTAAAGCGTCGGCAGTCGGTGTTCCCTCTCTTCATCGACTCCACTTGAAGTGTAATTGTAGTATTTTGTCGCTGTCTCTGTACATGTTTGTGGTCGCTGTGTTGACGACGTTGCCGTAGCTGTGCTAAGCGTTTGTCTCTCTGCCACGCGGCTTTTTGTTGTCGTCTTCTTCTCCGCTCGCGACGAATTTTAGTCAGCGTTCTCCAGAGGAGTTTCGATGGAAAATCTTTACCGGCGAGCATTTCCAGCCACTAAATTGTGCTTGTTGTTCTGTGTCATTTGTATGGGAATTTGCTCGTGATTCACCGATCGTAAACATTGTTTTAAGGACGATGAATAAACACATCTGAGCCTCGCATGAATAATACATGAAACTGCGCCCTGGTTATCGGCGTCAAAGTCGATGTTACCTAGTTGCCGGAAACGCAAAATAGTCTTTGACGTAAAGCGACATGACGTCATTGGCGGACACCAAGCATATATTCATAGATTTATGGAGCCTCGAAATTTGCATCTGGCTAAGACCACGCGCGGTTTACGTGATGCGCGCGCGCTTCGCGCGCGACGAGATTATAAACTTGCTTCGCGAGAATAAGATGGGGGTCAAAGACCCACTCTTGTTCCCATGGCTGAATTGGTTCTAACCCTCAACACTTTTGAGTTCAATGGCGAATATTACGAGGAAGTAGGCGGCGTGGCAATGGGTAGCAGATGGGGGCCAAACTACGCATGTCTCTTCTTTGGCTATGTCGAAGAGAGGATGCTCACCGAATACCCTGGTCTGGACGCCTGATTTGTATATTCAAGCGATACATGGACGACGTCGCGGGTGCAGTCTGAGGCATTGAACAGGACCTACAGCAGTTTCTTGATTGTGGTTCGAAGTACCGTCCTAATCTTGTCTATACGTGGTCTATCCCATCTGACAAACTCCCCTTCCTGGAAATTTATATGACACCCCGTGACGACCGCATATCGACATCTATTTATTACAAAGACACTGACAGCTATTCATATCTGGACTTCGGGTCGTCACATCCATCCAAGTGTAAAATCGTCCACACAATATAGTCGGTTTCTACGGCTGCGAAAAATCTGCAGTGAGGACGACGTCTTTTTCAAAATGAGGCCACAACCATGGAGGGTTTTTTGCGACACGTGGCTACCCCCATGAGCTAATTACAAGAGCACGTCTCCGGGCGGAAGAAAAACAGAGGGCTTATCTATTAGGCACCACCCCGGGTAGTAACTGTACTGCGACCGACCGACCCCCACTGGTCATTACATACCATCTCAAGAACATCGTCGTCTGTAGTGTCCTAATGCGAAATCATTCCATTCTACGGGATGACGACAGCACCAAGGTCACATTTGACAAACCGCCGCTTAAAGCCTTCGGTCGCGCTAACAATCTGAAAGATCCGGTTGGACGTCATTAAGAAGAAAGTGGCCCTGCCGGTGCCTGCCCATTTTACGGAAATAGACTACCAGCTGGAGGACATGCAAGTAGCCGTGATTAGAGCTGGTGTACCCGAAAAAACCAAAAGACGACGCGAGGAGATGCGCTTTATTCATAATTTTTTGCACCCTCACGCCGGTGGATTCAATTTTAAGATTTCTCTTTCACGTGACTTGCTCGCGCGCACACTCGCCTGATTTTACTCGCGCATTTTAATATTTTCAAATTTTCCGCTACCAACTCGCATATTTTCCCTGATGAAGGCAGCATTGCCGGAGCGTCGGAGTTTTATTTGCAATTATCAGCGTTTAACTTATCACCTTTCCACTTTTAACACACACAAACGCTACGCAGAAACCCCCCTTTTATTTGTACCCTTTTTCTTGTACCTTAGATGAAACGGCGGGTGCATTCCTTATAATAAGCTACAGAATGCAGGAAGGCTCCGCCCGAAAGGCTTCCTCTTTCAGGCATCAAGAACCGGACATGGGTGCTTTCCATCATAGCAAAAGTCTCGGAAATTTCTCGGTCGAGAAATAAATCTGTGGAGATTTTTTAGTC